TCAGCTGACAAACTTGAGCGAGTTTAAGAACAGCCTCTTTTAAAACACACTAGCCAGTTGAAAAACTGCAACCCACCACAGAAATTAAACATCCAATATTTAAACTGAATGCTAACTTAAAATCACATGTAATTTTTTAACAGAATTTTACAAGTTTCTAACACATACAGATTTGCATTACAGTAGTCCCATCTATCTCTTAAATCCACCAGGAACAACCTTATAAATTAAGACATTATATATTCAGGACTGAGTTAAGGAATGGATTTACTACATAAGCAAGATCTGCACCTCTACTGCCGTGTATTAAATGGGTTTAAATTCTTTTAAGTTCTCTTTTTTCCAAGTTCATTACATCAAACAACAGGCTCTATGAGCTCACAGAGCTGTCTCTTGGGGAAAAAAAACCCAAACAACAAATATTTCTTGAAATATTTACAGCTAAAGGTACTTGAGCATCTGGAACTTCCTTTAATATCCCTGTTGGTGAATAACAACAGCGTGGCTACTTTAATGGAATTAAAATTGAAAGGCAGAGATGCCCTCATAGATGGTTTAATAGTGAAATTATTTTATAATAATAGAATGCCAAAAAGAATTAAGTAGATTACATCTCTCACACCTACTTTTAGCAATTAACATAATATTCTGGAGTTCCAGTGTTGCAAACTGAACTCTATAGATATATATAATTAGATCCTCTACATTTCATCTGGGGAAAACATCACCATACTCACTAGTTCAGTAAATATATAACAGCAAGAAGTCCTAAAAAAAAGAAAAAATGCATACAGATGAAACAAGTTTCAATACACATAATGATGAACACAATTTTACTTTGTGATCTCCTTGAAGTTTCTTGTTTCAAATGTTTATTTCAGCCCACAGACAAGGACAATTGCTATAATAGAATGCCTTTACATCAGTGGTCTTCAACCTTTTTCACTTACATACTAACAAACAGTTCCCAAAAGAAGTGAAGGCTCAGTATAGCCTACTTAAACCTCCCAACAACAGACTTTCTTTTTCTTATTTGCGGCAACTCCTCATATGCAGTGGGTCTGCAAACAATAGATTGGAAAACACTATTCTGTTAACTCATAATGCTTTGCACTTAGCTCCATTAACTTTGCAAACAAAAAAAAGATGCTGTCTGCTTAGAGAGGAAGTGGTCTCAAAGGTCTCATATCAAACACTATTTTGTTTTCATGCAATATCAAAATACAACCCCTTCAGACACAGGTTTAGGAAAAAAAACACCTCCTTTATGTTACTTTTCGTGCCAAAGACTGCACAGTTTCAGTGACAGTGCTGCAAAATGAGATACACCTGCTTTGTACTTCTTTGCTACGTCAGAAAAGGTATGGGCAAGGAGTGGCTAAAGTAGTTCAATCTGACAAGCACAAGAAAAAATAGCATAGATTGTGTTGGAAAAAGACATTACACACAGAGGAAATCTTGATTAGATTGTACAAACACTAACTTCAACATGAAGTATCTCCATCTCTCTTACCCTAAGAAAATGTTCTGCCAAACAGATATTTCCAACTAGATGACAAGCTACTTCAGATCTCACACTGCAACACTTACAGATATCTTGATATCTTGCTGTTATTCTCCTTTCCTAAATAAAATGTAATGTATAATCTCATAATATTTGAGGGCTAACTAAATTATATTGTTTTTGCAAATGAGTAAAATTTTCTGAGCAAAAAGACATTTCAGTTCAAGGAAATGTATTCTGATTTTTCTGTTCCTTTCATATAATGATCCGTTCAATTTAGTCATTTTAAAACCAACATATAATACAATTTTTGTAGTTGCACAGTAATACGTTCTTAAAATGTACTGTCTCCTTTTTGTTAATTTTTTCATTATACCAATATTGACAGGTGTAATGTATTGCATCCATATTTGTGGCATTAAGTTTCATTAACTGACAGCCTAGAAATTATCCAATTTCATTGCTAGCAATATTCATTTCTTCACTTTCCATGGGGGGGGGAAGATAAAGTTTATAGCAGCATAAGCTGTGTTTCAACTACATCACATACTAGGAGAAATTACTAACTCATGACTAGACTAAGCAAAAAGCTCCTTAAATGTTATTGCTTTATTAGTATCCTGTCTTCTATCTGAAATTTAACACTAAGAGCACACAATAAAAGTTTGAAGAAAGAGAGATCAAAATATCCTTCTGATTATTCAGGAATGCATTTTAGTTATCAACAACCGCTCAAAACTTTAAGCCAAGAGGTTTAATCCAGAAAAACGTACTAAAGATGTAGTTTGATTTGTGCAGTAATTTATACTATAATATACCATTATACTATACTAGTTATGACTGCTCTATGACATACTGAAATGCTTGTCTTTGATACAGATTTCAGTACTGAATTCTGCTCAGGGTTCAGAAAGCCTGAACATACACGTTTAGTTACTTACAGTCAGTCAGCGGTCAGAAAAAAAAACCATACAAAGAGCCCCTACAAAGTAAAGAACTTGAACATTATTACTTTAAACTGTTCTTCATGTATGAACTGTTCAGCAATTTGATATAACAATGAGCAGTCAAAAACAACTTTAGTACAAACCATGCTAAATAAAAGGGATGAGAAAGACCTGTGCACATGATAAAAAACACTTAGTTATGCTATTAGGCTGATAGAAGAAAATCCCCCCTTTATTCCCAACTATTTTCTTTATCCTGGGGGGAAAAAATTAAAAATTAAAACTGAAAGTAACCAGTAACTGAAGTAACTGGAAGTAACTGAAAGCTATGAGATCTAAAAAAAAGCTAGCGGAGGACTTGAAGGAAAATTAAGTTCAGAATAAACTAAACCTGCCTTAAAGTTAATTTACCCAAATTTTAGTTGCCAAATAAGGTTGCTGAGACTGCAAACATCACGGGAAGTTCACCAGTCTCTCCGCAAAACATAACTCGCTTTTATCAGTCCTGAAGACTAACATAAATCTTTTTCAATGAATTACAAACCAGTTGTCCGTCTGTCATTTTAAGCTGTTGAATTTAGTAACCTTCTTAAATTGTAGAAGGGATATGTTTCTTTTCTACTCAGCCAAGCAGGAGAGTGCAGTCCCTCCTCACTTAATTGCCCAGCATACACCTGAATACCAACTGCCATCCCTCAACACCCCAGCACTGGCTGTAGCAGCTTTCTACTGCAGCATCCCTTTCTGTCCAATTCATCATCGTCAGCTTTCTTGCTGACACTCTTCAGAGCTGCCTTGCTGATGAATTGCTCTGTTATTCATCCTATGTTAATCCGAGGCTGATGCAAGAATATCTTTCTGAAGACACTTAACAGTATTAAAACTCAGCACTACCAAGTGCCCTCAGTGTGCATTAAACCTCCCATTTGGAACCAACAAGATTCCTCATGAATAGTTATGAATAAAATACAGTTACTAAATCAATAGGCATTAGGTTTATGTACCCCATTTCCTACAGACAAAGCTTCCACACAATCCCTTCCTTCTCTGGAAGTTACACCCAAATTATGAGAAATTAGAAATACTTCGATCCATGTAGAATTTAATTTCAATTAACCCTATAATTAAGTTGCTATAGAGAAGTTTTTTCCCTTCTCCTTCTCAAAATGGCAGTATATATCTTAAACACCACAGGTCTCAATAAAAGTTTTTCTTCAAGTCTGTAACCTTAGTAAGATTTTCTCAAGAAAGCCAGTTGTACCTTTTTTGTTTGTTTGTTTCTTCTAAGGTGGATTTGATTTTTAGGTTATGTTTTCTCAAGGCTTTGTTTCCATATAGGATTATACTAGTCTTGTCACAAAAATAAAATTTATCCTCAGAGAATCGGCAAAAACCATAGAAAGACATTTCAAAATGTGACTCAAATTTCTATAAACATGTTATTAAAACATCCAAACATAATTCTCTTCTGAAAGCAATTGCAGTCACTAATTTTATAGCTGAGAGGTACTGAAGTATCATTCTTTCTCTGAAGATGTTTTAATACACATATGATCAGCCTTCCTGATAAAATCTGGGTTCAAATTAAATTTCTGATCCCTAACATGTCATCTGTGCCCAGATTTTGTTCAAGTCTATTTGAGCACAAAGTTGACATAACTACATGAAAAGTGGGAACAAAATCTGTATAAGGAGTCTTGCTTCAGGTTGATTCAGAGGCAGTTATCAGATTTCCATAAAAGCCTCAAGTGATTTAAAGCAGCAGTAATTCACTTATAAACTCACTGTATATGAGCGTCTCTGACTATACTTATCTTTATAGATGATAAGATACTTAAGCAATTAAAGAACTATCAACAACTTGTCTCTACCAACATCTAACACACACCACTTTCTCACTGCACAGAATCTTCACAGCAAAAACATTCCATTTTAAACATGACAGCTGGGCCTATTACAGCATTTTAACCTTCAACTTTAACACACAAACCAACTGCTACGAGAACACTCTTGTCAATAGATTGTACGTGTAGTATTTAGGCAAAGTTATTTTGTAAGCGTGGGGCAGGGGGCTGACGACAGTGTGACAACTTTCTGAAAAAAACATCCCCATTGCTTTCTGCTGCAGGAGTACATCTCACGCTCCTTCAAAATCACTCAAACTGAAACTACCTAAAAGCAGTATGCACACACAAGCCACACTGCTCAAAAGCAAACAGCACCGAGTCAGAGCATTTTTTCCTTTTCTCCTCCTCACCGTTCCTGCAAAGATACCTAAGATACTCGACAGCAAAGAGAAGTTGATTTGGCTTGCTCTGCATCTAAAAATTGAAAACTACGCATTAACTTTTGATATAATTATTTGCAGGTTATTAGACTAAGCTGCATTAGGAAGAATGTTAACTGATTTGCTACTGCTTCGAAGTCTGATAAATAAATGGAAGCATTATGCAACATGAGCTGAACGTTTTAGTTTAGTGGCAATTTAAATACATGAACCAGAACATTAAGTTTGTATTAATACTTGTGCTAGCAGATCTGTTGCTTACTTTTTAAGATTTCAGGTGCATTCCATCTCGTAGACATTAATGAAGAAAATATACTGGAGCTAGGACAGGACATTTTGACCAACCAGTGGTTATGGAGACTTCTAAAACAATTCTTTAATCTGAATTAAAAAAAATACCAAGAAGGTTCATTATTTCAACAGCTAAAGGCTTTAAAGAATTCAGTGAAGTCTGACTTCCATCTAGTGTCAGCTAGTCTGAAAATAGTCACATCCTTAAAATTCTGAATGGACCAGATGCGCAATCAGTTGACATCAATTAGGAGTTTCAGACTTCTAAGTAAATGTTTAAGCAAATATACTTCACTCCCCAAGGCTCTGCTCTACATCTTCAGTATCGAGCAACCTCAGCCACTGTGCCAACACAACTACTCTGAGATCACATATGGGGAGTTAGATCACAGCTCTGATCTGTCTGAAAAGAAAGCCAACACCACATAAAAACAAACTCAAAAAACCCCTGACTAGTACAGAATATCAGCTGACCTTTTAAGCCCGAAACTGATCCACCAGATAAGGGTATAAAATACTGTATTATCTTCCCCTGCCCCTGCTCTGACATCAGCAGCTGTTCTGATGCGTTACTCCTTAGAATTACGTTCCCAGCAAAGTAACAAGATTTTAATTGTTTGTCACACTGGGATGTTTTTCCTTTTCGAGGTCTTAAAGCAGCATAAACATTTATACAGTTATATACCACTGAAGTGTTAATTGCTCCAACTATTAATACCCTCAGACTTCAGTAAGTTATCATGCAAATTGCTTCATGGCTTATCCCCTTGGTCCTGAGGACCTTTCCCCCTGGACACTTCCTAGAGTACTGCAATTATAGTACGAAGTATCAAAAACTTCCTCTGGTACACCCTGTGCTGGAACCACAGAAAATTTTCCCTACTACAGTATGGTGTAAAGTACAACAATTCAAGTGCAGCTGCAAAACAGTCAAAAATATTTTTTAAAGCGATTAAAAAAATTGACTTCCAGTGTGCTACTCAACTATACACCACCAAAAACATTAAAGCATATTAATAGCTACCTATCGGCATTTCCCTTCAAGAGAATGATTTTTTTTGCACTGAACTGAAAAGCAGAATTTACTATTTGACACCAAGTATAAAAAAAATCAATTCTCAAATGAAAAGTAACTGAAAATGTATTTTCAACTTCTACTCAATATTTTAAGTCAGAGAATAAAATAAATAAAAAAACCTATTAGCATTACCACACTTTTTCTGACCACTAACACCTGCTAAAATAACTGCAGGGATCAAAAAAGCTGCAACTTCTAGTGTTGGACTCAGACAACAGGTTTAAGTAACACAACTACACTTTAACTTGAACTGTCTTCTTGTTCTCAGACACACAGCTAGCCTGCAAAATACACCTTTTTAATGGAAGCAAGAATAACACACTGGAGGCGCAGCTCTACTAATGAAGTCACATCTGTTTTCCTCATTCAAGCATAAATTGTCTCAAAAATCTAAGCTCTTCTATTAAAAAGCTAACTCCACTTCTGTTAAACATTTCCAAGAAAAACAACCAAAAGAAACACAAATCCGGACATTACTTTAACTGCATTGTACAAGGTTACACAGAATAATTTCTGAAGTCAAAAGTAGAAATGTAACATTGCCCAACTTTCAGCAACCCCACTCTTTGTCTTATCAAAGGTAAATAATAAGATATCATAAATAATATGATATGTCTTATCATATTATAAAAATTACACCTCTCATCTGTTTCAGGATTCAAACAGTAGTACCAACATCCCTCACAGACACAGATCTTCCTGCTACCAACCCACAGATGTAACTTGTGTGGCACTACTGAACTAGCCAACTGCATTAAGCATAATGGGATTAAAAACACCAGCAGTTTTACTGTTCCTACTAGTTTTCTTAGCACTGGGCTATTAAAATTCAATAAACTGTCAGAATCAAGAGAAGATTTTCATACTATGCATTATGATTAAAATCAATACAGAAAAATTCACATAGCCTGAATGAGAAGTTGTGAGTTATGTTTCAATAAAGGCAAGGGTCAGTGAGTGAGGGCATTGTGTTATTTCACAGCTTTCCGGGCAAGGTATTTCTCTTGTCTCCCTCCCACTCCCACCCCCCAACATTCCATATAAGCAGTCAAATATAAACCATCGGTTTCCATGGCAGATTCCTGCTGTACTTCAATCAGCCTGAGTTGTCAGGACGGCCTGATAATTAACATTATCACAGGTCTATCCTGCCAGCCATGGAATATATACCAGATCAGCATCTAATAATACATCTAATTAACAGGATACCTGCATCAGTATGCATTCTCAAAAAAGGAGAAGACTTTATGGTTACAAACAGCAATTAAAAGACAATTCAAATGTACTTGCTTTTCTAACGAAGTCTACACAAATTCAAATCATTGTAAGCATCCCATTTCTGACTAGGCATTGTTCACTGTACTCAGAGTAAAAAAGTTTGAGTTTAAGAATGATTTAAAAAAAAGTTACTAACCTAGAAAAGTAACCATCCATTTCATATCTAGCCTTCTCTTCACACCCAAAGCACTCACCAGACACCAGTAACTTTTTTCTATCTTTTAATGCATGCAAACTTCATTTTCATATTTAGGACATTCTAAGTACTCTCCTAAAATCAAGTTTTCTCAGTTGTTGGTGGTTGGTTTGGGGGTTTTTTTTCAGACTCTAATATTAACCAACACACCTTCGTCTTTTTCTTTTATGAAAGCATTATGAAAGCATCTCTTGCCACTCCCTAATCAGCACTTGGTCAGTTGTTTCTAGCCATAGCAAGAGATTTTTATAAAACACTTGTTATTTTAGAAACTATTGCACTTAATTTCAGATGAGGAAAATGCAATTCTATTCCAACCTTAAGGAACAAGTAGCATTAAACAAAAATTGTCAATTCAAACAGGTCTTTCCCAATTTAACATGTAAGTCAGCAGCTCTTGTACATAATCAAGTCTACTATGGTTACCCTTACTTAAAAAAACATCTGATGACAGACATTTTAATAATCAATTATTAGTAAGCAACTGTGAACAAACCGCTTTCAAAATATGAGCTTAAAATAACTGCTTTACTAACTTAAAACTCGTATCAGTCAAAAAAATACCCCTTTTAAGTTACACACCGGGTGACTATAAATGCTGCAGATACAGATCCAAAAATAACTTTTTTAAAAAAGAACTGAACTGTTGCTGGGGGAGGGAAGTTTTAAATATTTTTCCACAAGTGAAAAAAAAAAAAAAAGAAAGAAAAACCCACACTTTTTCTAAAGTGCAATGGAGCTTTTGGTGTGATAAGAGGCTGTGCCAAGGTATTAAAAAAAAAACACAACAAAAACCACCAAACAACAAAACAAATACCACACCTCAGAACAGCTCTTATAAAGTTTTTGAACACAAGTTCTCTAAGTTTTACAACCTTGTTATTACAAGACAATCATAAACCAGAAAAACACCTCAGACCATTAAGTTTTAGAGGTGATTAAAGAACCAATCAAAAGAGCACTAGTGATAAACAGCACACACAATACTTAGTGTTACTGTAGCATGCTGTTTTGACAATTTTAACATTAAAACACAAACTTTAAAAATCAGTCTGAGACTCTCTGGGCAAACACCTATCATAAGGCCTTTATCCTAAAGAATATTCACTTTCTAAATCTGCAGTAAGAGGCAGGGTTTTTAAATTAAATAATAGGGTTTTACTGCAAGATCTGGAAAACTGAAATACTGAAAAACTGACATGCTAATGTGGTCAATGCCCCTCCATCAAACCTGACAGGTCAGCAAAACCCAAGCTAAGCACAGGCTACATTTACATAATCACAAACAATAAGGTCATGTACAAAAGTAACTAGATAACTTCTCAGCGAGAACTCAGTTCCAGCACCGGAATACAGTTCTTCAGCCCTAACTCAAACAGATGTTTTGGTTAATACAATGAGACTGGCACAAAAACTGCAGTTTTGGGCACTGGGCTCTGCAAATTCACATGCACTTTTCTAAGTAAGCAAATTAAACAGAGAGAGCAACATCCAAGAAAAATTTATCCTCATATTGCCTACCTAGACGATTTTACAGATAGCTTTGTTATAACTATTAGTCAGAAAGAGGCAGCCTAAATTAGATTTATCTCAAATAGACAGATGCATGGTTTAATTTACATTTAAAGGTAGACACACTTTTAAGTCACCTTCAGTACAGTTTTAATGGGAAGACGTAAGTTTCTGACGTATAGTTTACCAAAGAAAAATGAATTCTTGATGAAATCCACTTCAATATGTTTTTAAAAGCAGTTCAGACCACAGGTCTGAGCCATGTACATTCCGATCAGGTGCAGCAGTCTAGTCACTTACAGGCTGAAGAAAACAAAGCAAAAGTTTAAGAATTATACTACTCAGATCTCGGTTAACAGTTTAGGCATATTTCTTCATAATTTACTGAAAGAATACAACCAAAGTACCTCATTAATTTCAATACATCAGAGTGCTATGGAGGAGTTTGAAATGTCCAATTTAATTTTTAAAAACTACTGCAAGAAAACAGGAACAACTCTATTCATTGCCCACAAAGGGGAGCATTAAAATATACAGGTTGTCAGAAAAAACGATGCAGGTTAAAATCATAAAAGTTAGTATCTGAGAAGCCTAGGCACCCAAAAAAAAAAAAAATCAGGTCACATTTGATGGTGCAAACAATTACAGGAAATACAGCCTATTCCACATTCAGGAAGAGCCCTCTCTTCCCACAGGTTTGCACTACTCTGATAAAAACAATTCAGCTTCCTAGTTATTATGATGTGCACTTTAAACATCCTCGTTAATCCACAAAAGCCTTATTTACACATAAGAAGTTGAAAGCACACATATGGAAAAATAACTGTAATCCAAACAAAACTGTAGCATTCATATTTTATTATAAAGTAGTTCTTTTTTCAAAAAAAGTTTCCTCCATATACCTCTTACATTTAAGCTGATTTTCAAAACTAAATGCCATAAAGCAGAGACCATCTACTAAGTTAAGCGCTAAAATTTTCAAAGATCAAAAACTA